CGGAACCTACATCATAGGGCACCTAAGCTATTAGAAGCAGTATACTGTGTGACGTAAAAGGTCCTTGTAAACTCCCGCTGGCATACCACACGTCTTCACAAATAGAAAAAGGTTAATGTGTGCGTAGATAACGTCAGACAGGGCACGGACCCTCTCCTAGGGAGGAGAAAACGAGAGGGACTCCAAAGAGGGTAAAAACGGGAATATTTGACACCAGGACCACAGCCACGACTCAAGATCCAGGACTCGCGATCCATGACACAGGACCGCAGGATCATCCATGACTCCGGATCCTGGCGTATATAGACACCAAAAAGAAAGAAATTTGGGGAAGCTGGGTTAATCGGAACATGAGTACACAGGTATAGACAGAGAGAAGGAAGAAGTAAGATGTCCCCCAACAAACTAAGCCTATATCAGCAAAACTAGGGGCTGAATCTAATCAGCCCTAACTATAAGCTTTATCAAAAAGGAAGGTCTTAAGCGCACTCTTAAAAACGGATAGGGTGTCTGCCGCCCAAACACAAACTGGAAGCTGATTCCACAAAAGTGGAGCTTGATAAGAAAAGGCTCTGGCTCCCATTGTACTTTTAGAGACTCTAGGAACAACCAACAACCAACAACCCTGCATTCTTGGAACGCAATGCCCTAGTAGGAGAGTAGGGTATAATGAGTTCTTTAAGGTAAGATGGCACCTGCCCATTAAGGGCTTTGTAGGCGAGAAGAAGAATTTTAAATTCTATCCTGTGTTCTATAGGGAGCCAGTGCAAGGCAGCCAGAACAGGAGTAATGTGGTCCCTTTTCCTAACTCTGGATACATCCAAATGTACAGCTGTGAAAACCTCCTGCAGACCACAGTCCAGATAAAAAATCCAAACATCAGTCCCGCGAAAATAAGTTATTTAGGTTTGGATCAAATCGAACCATGCAAGTATGTTTGGGATGGCTCAGACTTTCTGATCAATTACAGAAGGTTCTGGAAAACTCTAGTCATGCTCTAACAGTGGCATAGCTCCTTTGGGTATCTCCAGCAAGTGTATGGTAGAGAGGCAGAGATAGAGAGGGATGTCAAATACACTTGGCTCAAAAGGACAGGTGTGATGATGACAGGATATCATGTGTGATATACTGTTCTTCAGTATAAAGCATAATTTCAGTGTCACCAAAAATGATAGGTAAATTAATGTAACAAAAAGATGCCTTGGGTCAGACTTTCAGGTGTAAAAAATTCAAACATTTAAGTCCAAAATGTATACTTTTTTTCACAATCCTCCACTTTGAAATAGTGAAACTATCAACATTACAGTATGATTGTGTTTTGTGTTCTGTATTTGTGTTAGTATGAGATATTCACAATGTGGTATATTGAGCATATATAATATGACTGTTTTTATTTTAAAACATCTTACATATTCTGAATTTATATAATTTTTAGTTGCCATCCTAAGCTGCAAGTGACAATTTCTTTTTCTTTTTTCTCTGTGTTATTTTTAAAAATAATTAATTAATTTAATGTCCATTATTACTTAAGAATACACACATACCAGAGGTGTGACCATTGTAACAGACTCTTCTTTTGCAGATACCCCCCTCACTTTGGGAACAGTGAAATTAATGTGTGTTCATGTTTTTATTTTTCTTTGCTAATTTGCTTGATGCAGACACAACATTGACTTACTTCGTTTTATGAGTGAAGCTTCTTTAAGGGATTAGTTTGTCAATCTCCATTCATCATGCAGCAAAAAGTGCAACAGTATATATTCTCTGGGCCCTTTTATCACTCCATACACAATGTTTTGCAGCTGCACGTCAGGGTTCAAGAACCAACGTTGTGATGAGCTGGCCAACCCCTGCGATTACTTCTGTCAGAATGAGGGGATGTGCACATTAACAGCTCTTAACAAACCACGCTGCAAGTAGGTCCTTCTCACCTCTCCAGCTGTATTCAGAGCCAACTCACACCTTTTTGTCCACACCACCACCCTAACTCCATCTGGCTCCATTTCAGCCTCAGTCCACTTTACTGTATGGGCTCTTTGTCTGAGTACTGCCTTGTAGCAACCTATCATGTAATATGTGTAATAAAAAAGCAACCCAAAATAGGTTAAACATAGTCATCTGAAAGAAAGTGTTATGATATGGTTATTTAACTAGATTGTGAAAGCATTAGATTTTTATTGGACAGCTCTGTGTCTTTATTCCCAGCCATTTAATTGTGACTGGAGTGTGTCCTTGGTAAATTAGGACTGTGACTTCCTATTTTGATTGAAATGTGTTTTGTCACACTTCCATGGCCTGCCGGGGCTCCAGTAATGACAGGTTAGCTAACTAGCCGTAATTAGAAAGCTTGTGAAGTTGCTGTCAAACACTGCGCTGCTCTTTGAGCTTTGACTCGCCCTTTTAGTAGCAACACTCACAGCTTTGCATTTAAACTGGAAAGAAAATGTGTTCTCACATCCTCCGTGTATGTTGTAGTAATACTGACTACAAGTTAAAATACTTTTAACCTTAATATGACTAAGTGGTATATTTGTAATATTATTTGTTTCACATTAGCATTGTTCCTATTCGTTATTTAAGTTAATTTAGTCTTAACAATATGTAAGTGATCTTTAAAAGGTGTTGGATGGCATATTTATAACCTTTGGACACTAGCGCCAAGCTAGCTGTTTCCATGTTTCACTCTTTGTGCTAAGCTAAGCTAATCAGATGCTGACTTTAGTTTAAATCTATTGCACAGTTTTATTTATTTTTTAATCAATTATCTTATCAAACAATCAGCAAAATAAAAGAAAACATATTCCCCTGTATGCCAAAATGTTCTTTGTATATCAATTGACTTATAATGTATATTGGAAGCAATGACTAGGCACACATTAGCACATATTTGTTGATGCTAAGCTAACAACCTTCGATGTTGCTCTTATTACATTGTCGGTTGCTGCATGATGTACTTTTGATGCCCCTCACTGCCACCCACCCACCCACCCATCTCATGCACACAGGAATCAGGGTTGTGGTGGGGGGGGACTTTAACGTGACACTGTGTGATGTGGGTTTCAGTGTGTGCATTTGCAACCTTTGCATGACGGCAAGTTGAATATGTTCTTTACTGACCAGTCATCACGCACAGCTTCGTAGGCTGAACATCTCATCAGTAATATGTGTATACCTTCTATGCCTTCCACACAGTTTAAAATAATTTCTTCATTTGTTATGGAATTAGTCCTTTCATCGTGTACGCCTCCCAGAGGAGATCAAACTCCCCGTCGCTTCCACTATCTCATTAAAATTCATGTCGCTGTGACATTTTGTTCAACGAGGGCGTGATGCATTTCCCGTATGTATGGCGCTGCATTCTTATTTTTGATAGCCCGATGTTCTGATTCTTAGAGTGCATGTAATTTAGAGTAATTTCATTCTGTCATCATCCAGTCGCACCCACAAGATCGCTCATGCTTTACAGACCCATCTGCGTCAGTCGTGTGAAATTAGATATCACCTCTTCTAACAAGGGTCATATATCACCCCCATCAGATCCCATTGGAACACAAATGAGATGACGACTTGTTGTCCCGCTGTGATCCTTTTGATATTTCGAAACACTGAATATTCAACATGTATATCTCAACACACTGTTTGTGGACACAACATGTATATACTTAGTGATCTCTCTCCAGGTGGTGTTTTGTTTGTGTTTGGATCAAAGCACTCCATAGCAAGACTGAATCATAATGTGTTGTATATGTAAACCACGGTCACATCATAATGTAGTTCTTCATGTGAAGGTGTTTTCAGCAGTTTTACTGCCAGGATTTCTAACGGTAGTTTATTTTAACTTTGTTTCGACCTTCTTCAGGTGTTCAGCCAATTGGGCGGGAACACAGTGTGAGAGACCCGCCCCTAAAAGCAGCAGATCGGACAATACCAGAGGAGGTGAGTACTGGGAATATCACATTTTTACAATTTCCTACATTTTTAAATGTATGTAACATCCCCACAAGATCCCAATTGCATTACAGTAGCAACGTCACTTATACATCTGAAATGATCACATTATTAAACATCAACACACATAGGACTCCTTATAGGGCCTTAACAAAATAATGTCTGAACTCCATCCAACCTAGCAAGTTTGCACAATTGTAATAGAATAGCCCATACTCCGCAGGTATACTTATTTTGAGTTAAAGGAACTGCTGCCTGATATTTTCAGTCTTACTATTCCGTCTGCAAATAATATTAAGTAGTACATGGATATCTCCTAAAGAAAGGCTCTACATACAATGTTCAGTGTTTCCCGCTAGCCCGTATTTATATAAATTTGACCTGGAAAAACTGTTGAAGTCCCAATACATTTAAATATCTCCGGTTATAATGTTGAGTAAGAATAATTCCCTTTATGCACAGATAGAGCTGAATACACAATTCAGCACCAGCCCCTCCCATCGATGCCACAAGCACGCAACGAGATGCCATTGCTGTAATGACAGTATGGAGTATGGATGCTTGAATTTCTCAAAGGCCTGCAAAGTCCTCATACATGATTATAGCAAAATATATCTTTAGTGGCCTGAACCGGCCAAGGTAGCCTGCATCTTCCCGGGTTTCTCTCTGTAAAACAGAATTAAAACAGTGCGTGATTCAACTCGGTAGCAGCGGACGTTTTTTCTTTAACTAGCCTACTTTCAAACAAAACATAACATACCTTGGTGATGAAAACTAATTTCTAACTAATATCTGCAATCAAAATGAACAATCTTTTTAGAATCTGCACATTTACTTTACTATTACTGCACAGCCAGTTCGTAATGGACATCTGTTCTGTAAATAGAGTGAAGTGTTCAGTCAACCAAGCATTAGAGAGGAAAGAAAAAAGTGGCCTTTTTGAAGCCACAGTCAGGCATGGTTGCATACAGTGTGTCACTATCAGAGCCCATCTGGAATCCTTTCAATCGTGTCTCATCTCACCATCTCTCATCTGTGTGTCTCTCAGGAAGCATAGCTATCATTGTGCCTCTGGTCCTGCTGGTGATCTTGATTGTGATGGTGGTAGCAGGTGTTTACATCTGCAGAAGGAAGCAAAGGTAAGTCATTAAATATATAAATAAGAAAGAGGCTTCTAAGCAGCAACAGATGATAAGAGATCCAGAACTACACAGCTTTAAAGATGAATGTGCTTTATATATAAAAAGTGTGTTGTTTATTTGAACATGTTCAGCACAACACCTGCCCTCAGAGCTAAGCCTCTGATTATAATTCAGCTTTTAGTTCTGCCAAGCAAAGTTATGTACACCCAAGTGTGCCAAGTATTGAGATGTGATTTGTTGTGTGGAGCAGCACAGCATGTTGACCTGCATGTTGAGTATCATGTTAATGATTCCCGGCTCCGCGCACCACAGGGGAAAACGAGTCCAGAGGCAGCCCATGACAAACGGAGGAATAAATGTGGAGATTGGGAACCCGTCATACAACATGTATGAAGTGGACCACGACAACCATGCTGATGCAGGCAGCCTGCTGAGACCCAACTTCACACTGGACCCTCACAAGGTTGGTATATGTGCTTAATATTAAACTAACCGCAACGCAAACAACAAGCTATATATCCCTGAGAAGCACTGCAACATTATGGCAGTGTATTGCTGCCACTAAAAGTGCTTGATTTCTAATTTTACAACAAGATTAATTTGTTGCCATATTTTTATTCTGTTTTCATTATTAAAAGAAACCTGTATTTTATCTCTTTATTTTATTTCATAAATTACTGTGGGCTCATTTTCATCACTGATGTACTTTGTATTTATTTATTTATTTTAAACGTCATTCGAATCAATCTTGATTTATCTATCAATAAATAATAATTATTCATGATTGAGTGTATTGACTGCATTATGTTACATTATTTGACATAAGATACCTCGATATAATATAACATATACTATATATATATATATATTTATATATACATACAGTGGGGCAAAAAAGTATTTAGTCAGCCACCAATTGTGCAAGTTCTTAATTTAACGTTTGACCTCTGTCATTGCCAACAAAGGGTATATAACAAAGTATTGAGATGAACTTTTGTTATTGACCAAATACTTATTTTCCACCATAATTTGCAAATAAAGTCTTTAAAAATCAGACAATGTGATTTTCTGGATTTTTTTTTTCTCATTTTGTCTCTCATAGTTGAGGTGTACCTCGGATGAAAATTACAGGCCTCTCATCTTTTTAAGTGGGAGAACTTGCACAATGGGTGGCTGACTAAATACTTTTTTTCCCCCACTGTATATATATATATATATAACATGCACATCTTCACATCTAACTGTAAATTCCAATCTGTGTTGTTTAAAATTCACACTAGAATACAGAACAGCAATAGCAAATAAAATATAGACTACTGTAGTTCAAATACAAATCAGGAAAATAAAGTAGTTATAGCATTTTTTTTCAATGATTGTTCATGTATGAAAGAGCCAGCAATGAACAACTTAAGTGGACTACGTGATCACTTTAGGCAAATTATTGAACAGCATTTCAATAGAAATGATTCTGTCTCCAGATTGTTGATGCATTAAAAAACACTTGATAGTGATTACATTATTTGCTGAATGACTGTAATCAGTATAAATGGTTTTTACTGCAGGAAAAAGGAACACGTTGCCTTTTCTCAACAATTCCAATGTACTAAGGAAAATGAAATGTGTCTTGGAATAAAAGTCAGCATAAACACATTAATCATGTATATATAGCTATGGTGAATCTGTCAGTATGCTCATTTAAAATGTATAATTTAATTTAGCAACATATGCATTGGAATCGCTGTATAACATCTTCTAGGAACTTATGTTTGAGTAGCCATATGCAGTCACGTTCCATTACACATCCTTGATAAACAGTGCAGTGCTTGTAAAGGAATAGGAGGAGCTGAATGAATCGGCCTTAAATGATGCCAATCCTTATTACACCTGCTAATTATCATATATGCTGCAATCAGGACAATACTGACACTGCCTATCACACCATACTAAACTTGCATAGTACATCTCCATCCAAGAATAGTCATGTGTATAAAAACAAGTGTTGAGTAACCAGAAAAAACATGTTAGGGTGATTCCTCCAATTACTGTGGTAATGTGATATCTGGTGTTGGTATGAACCAATAGAATTATACCATTAGATTTTGTAGAGATTTTGTAAAGGCTGTCTACAGTAGAGTGCATGTATCTCCAAGTGCCACGAACCAAGATTACTTTTCATCCGGTTTGTGATTTATTCTGAACATGATCCTCAACCTCGCACTAACACTCAGCATATCAAATGAATCATAACACCATCACTGATGTTGTTATCTAGCTCACCTGCTAGAGCTTCAAGCTTATTGCTCCTGCTTCTTGCCCTGCCAACTCTGACATCTGCTATTGTCAGTCCAATCTGGCTGTTTCTTTTTTTTTTTTCAACAAAGGCACCCTGGCTTGAATTTCAACTAGCTTCTGATTTCTACTACAGTCACTGAGTCCCCGACAATTCCTCACGTCTTTACCTCAGAGCATTTTTGTTGTGTATAGCATTATTATGTGTTTGGTTTTAGCTGTGTGTGTGAATTTAACTTTAAACAGAGTTGGTGCCTGTTGTGTTGCAGGGCTGGTGTGTAAAATCCAGTGAACCTCACACTTTGGGCATAAATTCTGTGCCCAAGGAGGTAATCCCTGGACAGGTGAACTTTCCAAACTTTACTTTTTGTTTGCCCTCCAGAATACAAAATCACCCTCATGTAAGCACCGTCATGTGCAGTCACCTGGCAAATATTTTAAACAACTTTATATAGTAATCTGTGTGATAAGAATATATCTTAATCTGAAGTGAGTCAAGGTTATATCTCACACAGGCCCCACCCTCTACTGGACTCTATGGGTACTACTCTCAACCATGCTATGCAAGCATTCACACACTGAGTTTGTATAAACGTAGCCGGCCAATCAGGGCAAGCCTACCTGAATGCGCGCGCAGGCACACAGCATATAAAGCAGCCAAGCCTCCTGATCCTGTCATCCTTTTCTCTTCAGCTAGCAGGACAACACCTCAGATAAAGTCAAGCGTGTGTAAGAAGAAGAAATAAGTTATCATACGTTCATGGAGTCGCCACTTCTAGAGACCCGGGCCTGTCCTTCGTGCCCTGGCTTAATAGCGGGCGCCGATCCCCACCACCTCTGATTCGAGTGTTTGAGGGACCAGGATATGGCCGAGGCAGTGCCATTCACGTTCGCCATTCCAGCGGGGCGGATGGCTCCGTTTGGGGGAGGAGGATGACGAGGACTTCTCGTTGTTGGGCACTTCCGGGTCCGGCGTCCATGGAAGTCCACCGCCCAGGTCTGTCCGCCAGGACTTCCCCCTGGTGATGACCAGGGCGGCGGAGCGTGGCAGCCCATCTGCTCCCAGCAGGCACCAGGCTGGGCAGAGAAACTCTGCCCCGCTCACGCACACGTGAGTGGAATGAACCGCAGAAAGTGCTGTCAAAGCACTGTGCGAGTTCAAAAGACGCTATTGCCGGCGTGCTCCGATTAATGCATTTCACTGTTGAATGTGAAACACAGCGTCAATACGAAGGCGCGCGGCCCGTGAGAGTGGCACAGAGACGGCATTATGACGGAGCCAGGGCCCCACGAGAGAGTGCCGCGGTGCGTTCAAGGACCTCAGTAGAAAATCGGCCCTTTCTATGTCAGCCCCCCATGGGCCAATCTTACTTTTATGGAAGGTTTGGCGGCAGAGTGGGCCACCAGAGAGTGCTACAGCTAAGTAGATGCTGCTCCACAGCTGCTTGCATGTCCCCTAACACAGTCTTATGGGGAATGGAAGCTCAACTGTGTACTGACAGAATGGATAGACAGGACACTGAGACTGGGTTACTCACTCCAGTTTTGCAGCGTCCC